GCCTTGCTTTTGCCTACTACTTCTCCTCTTTAGAGGTAGGACTGCCTTCTTACAGTCTGTGTTTTTTTACAATAGAAATCAACACAACTGAAGTCATGCTTCTAGGATCAGCGTGAGCATTTTCATTTGAATTAATTTTACTGGAGGTTTTTTGTAAATATAGTTTCCTTAGCACAAATATCGATGTGTTTAGAATCCCGACTCCTCTTGTTCACCTTAGCCAGGCATTGTTAAGTGCTGAAAACGCGCATTAATGAATAAGACCTACCTCTTTCAGCCCTTTACGTGATATTCAACAGGAAAATGTATGATTTCTTGTATGTTAAATATACAAGAGATGTGATCTTAAATCCCCTTTTATATGTCCTTAGGAAATGTATTTTTATTGTGCTTGTCATAAAACCTAAAATCTCAGGGGACGGCAAATCGTTTTGGCATAGACTTTACAAGGCAATTTGAATATTAAGAATAATATAATAAGACATCACATACTGTATAATGCCTGCTTTACAAATCCCATGTTTTAATGTATGTCCTCTGAAATGAAAGAATTAAAGATGACAATGAATTTACATTTTTGCATAACATTCCAGACCCTTCAAGTTCTGCACTTTGCACATCCCAGATTGTAAAAACCCACATTTGGACTTGTAAGACCTGCCAGTAAACCTTTAGAAGTTTCCTTCTGTATCTCCTGACCTAAGAGGGGCTCAGTGACTTACAATCACTTCAACTACAGTACAAACTCAAGTACAGTGTCCTATGCTCTGTGATTGCGGCACAGTGGTTATCACTGGTGCGTCACAACTCTGGGGCCAGGGTGCTATCTGTGTGGAGTTTGTATGTTTTCCATGATCGCGTGGCGTCCCACCAAGGGTGTATCCTGCTCTTTGAGACAGGCCCCAGCTCCCCAACAACGAGATGAGATGAGATAAATGAGATGAACCGATTAGGAAGTGGATGAAAGTTCTGTGATAAGCTCAATTACTAAAATAATTGAAATATAAAAGGCCTTCCTCCTCCTCTTCTCCTCACCACCAGCTCAACAACACAGCTTCCTCACTGCACTTCCTCTTCCTGTGTGCAGTCGGCGCAGGACGTGACTCTCCTCCAATGGGCACAGCACCCCCTGCGCATCACAGAGGAACTTACATATTAGCTTCCCTTCCTCTTTCTTTCCACTGGCATATAAGGGTAAGCACTGTGAGTCAAGATGTAAAGACGAAGCTGGCATTTCAAAACTGGATGGGCACATAATAAAATAGAATCAACAATTCACACCTACTTGTTTCTTCTCTGCATGTTCTTATGTTGAAGGTCCAGTCAAACTGTGCTGTTCCAAGGCTATTTCAATAGCGTATGATCCTGTGACTAAAACTATATACATGTATTGTTGTCAGTAGTACCATATGTAATACTGGACCAACTACAATAGATGGGACAAATATCCTCCTCTGCATTATAAACTTTCTTATGATCTTAGATAATGCTGTTTATGCTTGCGTGAAAGATAAAAATTCAAAACTTTAAGACCCGAGTGTTGCTTGTCTGGATTTTCCTGCCACAATATATGCTGTATCGAAGCTTAATGGGATAAACACGTCCCAGCTCCAGGGCAGTCTGACTAATAGGAATGCTGTGCTGCCAAGCGCCGGCGTGGGCTCTATTGACGAAAGACACAGAACACAGTGTCAGAAAGCTCGAGCACGATTGCAAACAGCAGAGCCATTTTGTGTACTGAGCACACCGGCGAGGGGGCCTGGGGTACCTGCCCCAGAAAAGGGCTTGATTTGGGGTTTGTCCCTCCCGAGGCTGTGACTTCCTGGGGTTGGCTGTCTCCCGAGAGGCCCTTGTGTCATCTCTGTCATCAGTCTCCACGGTGCAGGAGACCCTCACGTAGGGTCACACAGTCGTGCATTACTGTGCGACAGATATCTATATCAAGTACCAGTAGCCCCATTTGCTCCGTCTGAACCTCTGGCTCATGGCCGCATTAGAATGGCATCCCTTACGTGCTTAAAATTAATAAATGAAGATTTTTTTTCCATCTGTGCTTAAGAAGGAGGGCAGTGAATTCCACCAATAAAATGTATACAGGAGATTACAGGGACGTATTTCAGTACCTAATGTGATTTTTGAAATGCTCTAATCGAATTTGCTCCCTACAGTTCTCAAAGGGAGCGTTGCCGATATAACAAAGGTGAGATTAATCAAGAAAGGAATCAGCCATAAATCCTTTTAGGGTTTGAAACAGTGCCAATGAATTCCGGACAGGAAGAGTACGCCCATCTTTTCTTTGAGGTGCAATCCCTTGTAAGCACATGAACAAATTGATTAGAACCTAATTCCTCATCATTCTTTCTTAAGGGGTACAATGCCATCCTGTGGCGATTTATCGAACAGCACAATGGAATAAAAAAAAAACTGGAATCGATGCTCACACATCACAATCAAATGTTTTTTTTAAAAAAGGTCGATTAAATGAAATTGAGTTAAATAAGCCTTTTTTTTAAAAAAAGAGGTCTTAAAACCTCTCATAATAATACTGACAGTTCTAAGAATCTTTATTCTACAAATATTTATCTTTTAAATCTTAAAACTGCTCCACGTTTGAAATGACCTAAACACTAAAACCTTGTCTTATTATGAAGGGGTAATGGATCAGAGATGAATATGATCATTGATTGATTGGTATGATTGATTTTCTCACCACCCTCTTAACATTCTAGGGGAATCTAGAAACCTGGCTCTTTGGCATGTAGGTCCAGTTGTCTCAGTGGAATAATAGTAGAATAATCAGTGGTCCACAGAACCAGTCTCATTTTGTGGTGAGGTAATTATAGAAATTATGTAGAGAATGTACAAGATATTAAGCACTCTTTTAGAAAATGTATTTTGACTTTTTGTTTTCTGTGTTAATTTGTGTGCTCATCATTTTTGAGTGGCTGAAATAGTTTGCTTGGCAAATTGTGAACTACAGTCAAAACAACGATCTCTTTACCTGGGACTTTGAGCCTCATCAAAAACTAGGGTCCGATTTAGATTCTTAGACAAAGTTTGGCTTTAATAATAATTGTACTTATTTCAGTTTGCAGCATTCTTTAAAAAATGCAATCCACTGCACGCAAAAAGAAGGCAAAAATACCACTGATGGAAGGCTGAGTGTGAAATCCTGGCAGACTAGTCATTCAGGGGTTTTCACTAAACAGGGGGCGGCTGCAGAGAAGGTCATAATTTAGGGGATGCTGCATGATGATTAATGCTCCAAGGACTGCCATCTACCTTGAGGGCAGTGCTGCCAGAGTCTTACAATTTTTGAACCAAGAAAAGGGTCTGAATGAATCAGGCTTCAATGTGATGTTTCCTGCTTGCAAAGGTTTCACAGTTTCATAAAAGCCAGCAATCGTCACCTACTGTAGACCTCCTGGGAGAACAGTACTCAGTAACTGGCAACTTTAACTTTCAATAGGAAAGTACTTGCATAATTTCTTATACCTGGGCCCCGATAGAACCTGACAGAGTATTATTTTTTCAGCTCTGGCTTTTTGAAGGACAAATATATTCTTTTTCCAGCTGTTTAACATAACCTTGTAATCACTCCTGTCTTACTTGCGGTAGCTGGAAGTGAGTGTTATGCTTGCATGTTGTGTTGGACTAAAACTAAAGCTTGTGATCCCAACTGATTATTGCTCCAGTTTCAGCTCCGTGGCACTGGCTCCCTGTGGATTTCGGATATATACCCCTCGAATATAAATATGCTCCTGACTTTTAAGACTCAACATGGGTTAAAACCTAATTACTGTACATTTGTGATCTGCTGATTCCATATACTTCCACACCTTAGTCTTCTACCTTGTGTCTCTTATCTCTTTTCAATTAAAAAAAATCTTCTCGGGTGATTCATCTGTTTCTTATCCAGCAAACCAGACTATGGAAATATCTCCAGAAGTTTATAGTCCTAATCTTAAAGTCAAATCTTACAACTCAGTCAGCACTAAAACAATACTTAAAACTTTCTGCTCAAGATCTTACTTCCAATGAATTCTGTCCATCCATTTACTAAGAGCTTTATCCAGTACAGGGGTCAGAGGAGAGTCAGAGCCCAGTTCAACAACGGGCGCAAGTCCAGATATACCTGATGTGACACTCACACTCACACACACACACACACACACACACACACACACACACACACACACCCTGGAGCTCCCGGAGGAGTCCCAAGCAAACATACTGTACAATCACCACACCCTAGGAACTGACCCCAGCACCCACACACAGCACTGTTCTGCCAGGCCACACCCTTCTAATTCCAATATACTGTTTTCATTTCTGTCTCTTTCATTTGACAATTTATTGTACAGTGCCTTGAGATGAGGTACCAGGAAAAAAATGCTATAAAATATAAGGACCATTATTATTAAAGGGGGAGTCATTCTGCTGGCACTTTTATACCTACATCGGAAGAACGAAGAACACAATGTTCCAGCTGTGAAGCCCACTTCAGGAGCAGGAGTCCCGGGCTGAAGGGAGATGTTGCATTTTTTAACTTTGCGGTATGGAATCGACCTCGAATAGCTCCTTTACGGCTCCCTTACTGAGAAGAGATGTCCAAGGCCTCAATAAGGGCTTTTATTGTCTGATCCCGATATTTCTGTTGATGCATGTATTTTTGCATTGTCTGAATTTTTGTTGCATTTGTTTTAATTTTAAACATCTTTTATGATGTGAAGGACTTTGAGATATTGTACATTGTAATAGAGAATGCCTACAGTATGTTATGTTTATGACACATGAAGCTTTACAAAAGTAAGTGTTCTGGACATTAAATATGGGTCAGCAGGCATTCAATTTCTTTTGGCTGTCTTGCATAGCTTCTGTGTATCCTCTGTCTTCCAGACAGAAAACATGCCAAGTACTTAATATATTATTTGAAATTAGAAATGTTGACAGAGTGCGCATAATGCCATTGAAAAACGTTAAAAAATCAGAAAACAAACAGCATTTTGTTTATTTATTATCAGCAATTCATCAGTTACATATATAAACAACCTGTAGGAAAACGCCCGAACCTTCTTACTTCTTTACAAGTCACCTGCCTTGTCAGTAACATCATACACAGGTTTTTAGAGGTTTGTACTAAATGTTTGTGCAATATAAAAGAAATAATATACATAAGTTAAAAAATAAAAATACAGTATGCAAGTTATTTACAACTCAAAAACAAATGAAAAAGTAAACATTCTTTTCAGCAGCTGTGCCACCTTACAGACAAGATCAGCTGTAGGTGAAACGCAGCCTTGTCTTCAGCAAAGAAAACCGAATGCCAGGAAAACTATGGAAAAAAGGGCATCCACCTTAGTTCACTTGGATATTCTTGTTTATTCTCCACTGAGAAATCCAAAATGACTTATTTACTCTTGGTGTGGGTACATTGTTTCACTGTGTTGAGGATGAAGGTGTGGCATTTAACAACAGAAACTCAGATGTTGGTAAAATAGCATCTTGCAACACTGCAAATGTCAGGGGTGCACACTAAAAAAAAAACCCTCAGAATTGTGGAGGGGTTGATTTTGAGCTTGCTCCTTGCAAAAACGTATGTGGTCATCTGAATTTTATTCATGGTTGCACTTCTCCCACTTTGGATAGTTTTTCAAGAGTAGGTACCCTTACCATTTTTCAACTGAAAAATCATTACCACAATATACTGTATGTGATTAGTGCTGTTTTTAAAATAAAATGTAAGTAGAACTTCTCCTCTCTGTATGAAAGTGTTTCAAGGAGCTTCCTCTCAATTTTAGCTTCAGGATCGTCTTCATCCTCCTTTTGGATTCGGGTTATAGTCTGAGTCGCAAAATACACATTTACTGTGTTACCTAAGACATAAACCCAGAAGGACACCTGTTTGCTATATTAGTTTGCTATTATAGGCAAATTACAGTATATTGCAGTTTCTGAAAAAGACCTCTAGCAGCCATTAGTTCTAATACAAACCTGTAGCAGATATAATTTCAGGATTTTTGTTTAAAATGTATTTTTTATATTAAACAGTAATAAGGCCTAGCATCTTACACAGATGTAAGAGACAGGAAAAGCAGGTTATATGGGCAACTTGCAAAGAAATGCCAAGTGCTAATAAACATCACTGTTAGGTATTTTTCACTACAATTCCTTTTATGCCAGTGAAGACGGTAAGGCAGATGATTTTAATTTCTTTGTAAAGTAAGCAGCTCTGAATGTATGCAACAGTGGATAGGTAAATGACATTTTTTAGCATGGCCAAATCTTGTAGCACAAAATATCATCATTTACATGTGAAATCAGAACCAAAACTAGGTCTGGTTAACATATGTATATTTCTGTATAATAGAAAACAAATATAAAACAACTAGTTGTAAACAGCCTTCAAAATCACAGTATAAGAAACCATTGCTGAAATGACATATTTAAAGTCAGTCTGGCAGAAAACTAGACACATATAATACAGACCACAAATGTTACAATTTAAAAAACAGTGTTGTGACAAGAAAAATTATATATATATATATGTACATTACTGATTTTCTAACTTGTCACATTACAGAACTCGGCTCATTTGAATGAATTAACATTGGTTTGTTCCATTGGGGTATTGTCTACTTTTACATTTCTAGCACAAGACGGTACACCATTCTGAATTGAAAGAGGCAGTTTTCTATATGGCAAATTCTAGATATAAGTGCATATCATGCTGCACTAATATAGTGCAAAAATGTGCCTGAAATGTAGCAAAAGGGTGCAGGCAGGATTCCAGTAGATTTAAGAGTGTATAAATTGGTAGTATGTTTCAATAGTTGTATGTATTTTCATCTTCCAGACACAGGGAGCTACACGGGAAAATCCGTCTGGAAAATCCATCTTGTAGTGTTTCATTTAAGCAGGCATTGTAGAAATGTGTTGGAGCTGAGATGCAGGTGATTCAGTCTTCCAACTAGGCAACTGGCTACTATGCAGTGACGTTTGGCAACATGTGAATATTTTATCCCCAGCTCCTGACTTCTGTACGCACAATGAAGATTCTTCAACTGTATTTTGATGCTGGCAGCTTTTTGAAGTTTGGGATATGTTCTTTGTTCTTACCAAAACCTGTCCTTTACAGCCTGCCCAGTGCTCTGCTGCAGTAGTCTTTATTGTGAAAGCAGTTAGTACACATAGAGTAAACAGCTATAAAGCAAAGGCAGTTTTTCTCTCATCCATTAAGGCTGAGAAGTCTCTTCTGCAGCACAGGAATAGGCTAGTGCTGAATATGAATTTCTTCCAAGTCTTTTCAGTGATCATTCTTTTGAACTTTGATTTTACACTTCATTTTCCACTCTATTTTACACTCAAATTAAGTTTCTGGAGACTTGATGTAAATGCCATAGAACTTTCCAATCCAGTCAGGATGGGACTTTTCCTGACACAGAAACAATGGTGTTTCAATTAGGAAGCCAAGCCTGTCTGAGTTATCTACATATCAGCGTCACCATCATAGGCCAGGGTCAAAGGTTTCAGTCTGTTATTTTGTCTTCTCTGGGGTTTCTTTGGCTTTTTGCTGCATTGGAAGAAGAACAAGAAGTCATATTAGTACAAAACAGACATGTCACTCTCAGATGAGTCGAAGGTTGATGCTAATTAAAATGACTTTGTCAAACAAAAAATTTAAATTACCATTCCTTTAAATGCTGTGCATTTATCTATTCTACAAAACAGGTTACTCATTCATTAGAATAGCCTGCTCGTTCCGTCTGGATTGGACAAACTGGCTTCCTCCACAAGCCCCCCTGTATGAAATGATTCCATGGCACCAGCTTCAACACAGCAGGCAGACAGCCAGTATCTTGAACAGCAGCAGCTTTAAAGTGCTAAAAGGGGCCAGATTCCTAAACCACTTCCAGGACTGCCTGGGAAATTTTACTAGTCGTTTTCTAGATTATATGAAGTAGAGAGTTCACAAGTTTGCAAAAGTGCTCCTAATCCAATACACCAGAAACACAGAGCATAAACTATAAACCACCATTGGGCTTATTTATAAGATACACAATTGTTTCTGTAATAGTTTTTATTTGACTACATACATATTCAACATATGCACTGTGTCTAATCTAAATAAGAACTTAGCCTTAGAAAAGTCTACCCTCAGAAAATGCCATGCCTTTCCCATAATTGGCTCAGCCTCACCATGCTGGCACCTGCAGTAGAACTGCACATGGTAGTATCCCTGCAAATAGCATTGTAGACTTTTATAAGGGAACATTCATACTGCTTGATCGAGGGTGCTGGTACTTACACTGCTAGGCATTGTTAACCCTAAGTATGAGTGACTCATTACAGTACGTTTTCATTAGGAGTGCAAGAACACATTTTTCTAACTCCATGACAAAAGTGAAATCTAGGAATATACATTGGTACAGTACTGCAGGCCTCTAGACTATCCTCTCTAGTAAAAACAGGGATAACAGCTCTTTTTTTACAGTGCCTTGTGAAGCATCTAGTAATAATTGTGTGGTGTGGCAGGTTTCAAATTTTTTACTTATTTGCAGAAATGTCGAGCCTGTAATATAGTATTATACTGTTGAGTTCACACCTATTAAATGTATGTATGAAATAACATATTTATACAGTACATTATATAACACCTGCATGTCTGTGGGACCTCAAAATCTGGCTATACCTGCCTCTGCATAGTGGAGTAACGTCATATGCAGAGTTTTTATCAAGTATAACTGATCACTAGGGAGAACTGATTCTAAATTTCCAGAGATTGCACTTTAGATTTTGTATCTTTGAAACCTGAATATTTTATTTTTAAACTGGGATTTAAAAAGGAGACCATGAAGAACATGTCCCCATAGACAACTACAGTTCGGTGAACAGCTTCTTGAAGGTGTACACCATGACCTTCCATGGAAGCCATCAGACAAACACTGCGCAGTGTAACACGCTAGGATGTAATGTACGGCCATTTGAAACTGACCGTAATTCCCCTGTTCTCACTGGTAAGTATGACAAACTTCACTGTTCCACGATGCACCGGGTGTACTGTAAGGATGCAGGTTAGAGTGGTTTTAAAATGACTTGAATATGAAGAGCCCTCCAGAGGGATGAGCAGGTAGCCACAAGCATTCTCTCCTTCCCTGCGCTCCAGAGGTCAGGTATTTCTAGATGCTTGCTATACCCAGAAATGAGTGAATAAGCCTCCTGTGTTTCCTTTCACAGAACCAAACACGCTGCTAGAGCAAGGACATATGTGAGACAAATTTATATTTAAATCCCAGCACATACTCCTTGTGTCTAAACCCTAGAAGTACAGACCTTGGAACAGATAGCTGGTGCACACCCTCCACTGACCAGTCGGTTGAAAGAGGGACGACTTTGCTGCTGAGCCAACAGGTGTTATGTCTTTTAAGCATGTAAGAAAACTAGTCTCCATACTGTGATGCTGCTGTTTGTGGAATGGGAAACACTTTTTAAAATTCTTACTGAATTTCTAAAATTCCTATTTTAAATGATTAATATTTTCCTTGATAAGTGAATTATACATTTGCTTGTGAACATGCACTGTAGTACAACGTAAACAAGCTGACACAGTAAGAACTACTTATTTACATAAATCATATAGTCATATCATACTATAACCTTTGCTAATCCTGCTTGTGTCATATATTGCATAAATACTGCATATACTGCGCTATTGGTAGGATGACTGTTTTCATGCATTTCTTACTTCAGGATTTCTCAATTCCTCCTCCTATTCCCTGTGCCAAATCCATCACAATATTGATAAAGAATTTCCCTTTGCTTGATAAAAAATTTAAAGAATGGTTATCGGTATTTCTAATTCTCCTCTCTGTATCAGTACCAGAACCCTCGGGCATCAAATAAGTTCACAGATCAAATATCTAATGATTGAAAATCCTATAGCAAGTACTCGCACTAATGTTCAATTACCCTCTCCCAGTGTCTTAAGAATCTGGCCCTTCGAGCACAAGGCTTCAGGTGATATGACTGCTGAAAGCAGAGCAGTGGCAGCTGTGCAGAGTGGATTCGATTTTAAAAGAGTTATTCACCCTAACCTGAGAGAACAGACGCGTCATCTTGCACCTTAATGAAAACTAAAATGCATAAAGATAATTTTGGCTATTAGAGACACATCGCAGTATCTAGAAGATTGAACGATTCTCCAGTTATTTTTTCCAAGGGTATAAAAAGTTAAAAAGTATGTAAAAACAATACCCTAATTTGGTCTAATTTGTAGGTTTCTTACAAATGGAATCGATTAGTTGAATGGCAACCCACCCCCCCCCCCCACTCCCAAATAAATGTTTTTTTTTTGTTAATGACTAAATAAACATTTCTCTAAAAATAAGTGCCCTTCAAAAATATTGGGACAGTGAAATCAAAATTCAAATTTTTTAAGTATGCAGCCAAACGATTTTAACTCTCTGGAATTTATTGAAAGTGAATGTGCCCTAGTTCTCCGTCACTTGAAGTCACTGAATGACTTGGTTTGTGTCCACAAAGTTTGAATATGGGCAAGGGATAACCCAAAAATAATAAAAAACATCTTTTACCATTTTCCTAATCACTCATATCCATCTAATGATCATGCATGCAAATCACTTGACAGTCGAGCAAAAAAATAAGTTTTGACTTTGTTATGCCAGTGCTTTTGGAGGGCACTGTAGGTTGATTGGGGAACTATAGAACAGCTGGTATATTCATACTTAATGGATATAACAGTTAAAAGATGAGAACGAGAAGATATATTAATTATAATATACAATTCAGCTATGCAGGTGGGAATGTCAGCAGATTCAACTCACCAAGCTAGATAGATCATAGAGACTATAAATATGAGCAGGACAAAAGCGCCAGCAGCTACACCATACACCCATGTCTTCAGTTTCCCATCTGTGGATAAGGAGGGTTAGTGAGTTTTAGCACTTATTAGTCAGGAATGTCATTTCAGAAAAATAAATGAAGTGAACACTTCTTTGATAAGTTATGCCCATTGAATTAAGGAATGAACTGATGATATTAAGATTTTAATTGGTTTAATACATTAAAAGAGTGTTCGACTGCGTTTGTGTTTTTCAGGCCTTTAATGGCAGAATTAAAATAGGTTTACTGTAACATCTTGTTCGAACCCATTACCCACTGAAATGTTATGCAAAACCCATAAAAGGTTATTGCACAGCTAGCTTCGGTTGATTATACAGGATCATAACTCACAGTCCTGAGATACAAATGAAGAGAGGGGGACCATCTGAAATTAAAATCCTCCACATGCATAGAGTCGAGCATATCAATAATTTATTCAGTATAATCAGGATGCGGTCCATTTCCCTCGCCAGATAAAATCTGCAGAGACTATGGAAGCAAGGCTAATTCATTATTATCTTTGCCATCTGACCGGCTTTATGGCACGGGAAGAGAAATGGGATCAAAGTAATAAAGTGATACTGTAACTGTTTTATATAACAGCACTGAATTGTGGCACTTTTTAATATCATTTTTTTTCCAGCAGAGGGCACCACAAGCCAGGCTACCCAACAAAGACACAGCACACGGTGCACAGGAGCTGCCCAGTTTCCTCTGCATCACAGTCCCACACTGTGGCACAGCTTTTATGTAGCTTTCATTTACAGTAGCCAAACACCCTCCTTCTAATTTTTGTTGAAGATATCCCTAAATTAACAACGCACAGACATACAGTATACTGTATATTTAAACAATACTGGAATTAAAATGATGTTTTTTTCTTCAAGTGTGACATCACATAATACACAATACTGTGTTGCTGGTGATGCTGCATCTAAGTCATTCTTTTCAAAATCACAGTTACGTTTACTTAAACACTATTCAAAACGTGTGCTTTCTCCTTCTGCTGGACTCTGTGCTAAGGTCTGGGTGGGCTGCTATGATCCTTCACCTGGTCCGAAGGGCTGCAGGAACCACGTCCTGCCTGCGCGGCCCGGCTGGTTGGTGGAGGCCTGGGTGGGGTTTACAGCTCGGCTGGTCTTCACGTCCCCGCTCCTATCCCCCCCAGTGGGGATCTCCAGCACGGGGATCAGAGTGCACTGGTCCAGCCGGCCGTCTGACGTCATGACCTCTGTGTACCCCTCCTCACAGCCGCACACCCCTGCCTGAGGGTGAGACCACACGGGATTCAAGTCGGCCATAGTCTGTGCATTGTAGCGCAACATTTTTTGCCATTTATAGATGTGAAGCGATACAGAATGTTAATCTAATTAGACAAAACAACTAGGGAGAAAATAAATATTTGAAACAGCATATTATTTGGTTTTCCCCATTTTTTAGCATTCGATTCTTTGAGTGCTACAATGTCCAAACAGCATTCCAGCAAACAGTAAACACTCTACTTTTAAAGGAATGAAACAAAGGGTGCACATAAATATCACGTTTTACTGTACAGTATTCCCCTACATCACAGTTTCTCATTATAGATGGGGGGTAACTGTTCATGAAACTCTTCATAAGGGCTAACCATTTAATTTTAAAACCAAGTGCAATTCTTCTCCTTTATCCTTGACCCACCTATCTAAGCATGTGGCTGTGACACGCTTGAACAGGGTACAGTACAGTATATTAATGAGGTTGGTCGCCTTCCCTTCCACTTGAGATGAACAGTGTAGACTAGACACTCAAACTACAGAGATGTTTCTGGGACTAGTGTGATAACTGGAGTAACTCCACACAGAACAGAGCTCCAACCTCTAACCACAGCTCCTTTAAAAACCACCTGAAATACGATAAACCTTTCTGCTTTTAATTATAGAATCCAATAATGAAGGCGGAACTGGAGGTCAACAGACCAACCGAAAGATCCACTGTGAGCGAGGGTTGATTTTACACTCCTAGATATTTTCACTTTGCTTCTGGGGACAGAATCCCATGATGTCTCAATAAGCGCCACTGTCATATATGAATATAAGGAGGAACCGTAAAAACATAAGCGTGATATTCACTGTGAAAATCAAACACTACTTCTGTCTCAGGGATGACAAGCCCACGTGTTTGTAAATAGCCCTGTAAATTGATTTCCGCTCCATTTATAGCTCTCGGTTTAAAGATGAGAAAGCATTAGGAGAGTTTATTCACACATTCAGAAAATAGCTCCAAAAACAGTCATCTGATGTTGCCTGCCCCCGTGCTGTTCCACCTTTTGATATACCGTATTTGGGGCATCAAAGAATTCTTCAGTTATTACAATTACAAAAGATATACAATGAAACATATATCACAATAATAATGTAATAATGTGTACAACATAATCATCACGTTCAGCCCAGTTGTACCACTGAGTTTGGTGGTTTGGCCAGTGTTACAATCCATTTACAGGGTGTGGAAGGCTTCTGTTTTACAGCATGTGCTGCAGCAACATGAGTGTGTAGCATGTGCAGTATCTCAAGGGGTCAACTAGCAGGGCTGAAATGACTGCCAGCCTCCTTGCATCTAAAAGAGGGCAATGGCTCCCTCTTTCTCCCAGAGGCCTGCCACTGAATCCCTTGTGCTCTGAGGTAAAGCCTTAGAAACAGCACAAAATCTGTCTTACCAAATGCCTTTCATGGTACTGACAATGTGCACTCCATGCAGGCTGCCTGCAGTGCTATTTATGAACTCTGCCTGCAGTTATTTAAGTATTTTGCTGTGGTGTGTGATTGTCAGCAGAAATGGGAAAATCTAGACAGGCAGCTGGAAGCCAGAGGAAAGACTGTTTGATACAGAATGTTAAGAATTTAATTCTATTACTGTAGGTTCAAAAACAAATGATATTCCATGTTCTCTCCTCTTTCACTCTTGTACTTTGGAGCTGAGCATTTCTGTTTTGTTGAGAAAACCAGAAGTGGGGTGGTTATGGGTTTTAAGGCAGAACTGGCAGCGCATGGGAGCTTTTTCTTCGAGGCTTAGCTTAAAAACTATACACGGAAAAGGGAATATGAGCAATTTCACCTTTTTGTCTTCAAACTTAAATGCAGAGTGAGAAAGCAAAATGGGAGTTTACTGACTCATAACAAAAAAGGAATACTGGTATTTTAACAGTATACAGAGATGGAAAATGTTGATAGCACATTGGTGTGATGGTTAGTGCTGCTGTCTCTTGAGCTCGATTGCTTTCCGGACAGGGAAGTCTTCCTTGTAGAGACTGCCTGTTCCTGACTGAGTTTTCTCTGTGTGCTTCTCCATGCATCCCACCTCCCAAAGCAATGTTGAGTATGTCCATTCACTGGTTCATCTAAATTGTCCCTCTGTGTGTATGCACTGCAAAGGACTAGCATCCCAAATTGTACCCTGGGCATCTGGGCTAAAATCTAGGCAGTCATGACCCTTACCAGGAACAATCAACTTTCTAATGATAGATGAACTATGAAAATGCAAGCTGATCAAGGAATATGGTTTTTAAGACACACTACCTCTTATTGACTCTTACCTCAGTGCAGTAGGATTGAGGCTTATTACAGGGAGGACTGCAGGACCTGTCAGACGCTGGCTGGCTTGTCAGAGGGCATCCACCTACAGAACCATGGTTAGCATTGTTCAACATGTCACAGGGGTTTATGCAAAAGAAAAAACTGGAGAAGACATTTTGTTGCAGCCTTTGATTGTGCTGTCAAAAAGGATTTGCCAAGAACTCTGTTTCATAGGAGCACAAAGCAAACATAAACAAAATATTTACCACCAGATTATTAAAGCATCAGCCATTCAATTATGCTGCTTTGTCTACACAGTCTCATTAGCCGAGTTCTAGGAGAGCTCCAGGAAGCTTTGTGTACTGTGGACAGTGAACCACATTCTCGTGTTATGGTTGATGTTGTTTGATGTGAGGAAATGATGTGATGTGTTATTGCTTATTATATTTTGTTTGCTCGAAATTAATTCAATTAAAGTCACTGTAACTATTGTGATTGTGATTAAAAAGTATATGCAGTCCTGTTACTAATAATATCCCAAGACCACAGATCATTCCAGCCTCCTACATTTCATCAAATATGGAAGAAATGCTTTCTATTAAACAATATATGTATTTTATTTTGTGTTATAAAGTTTAGCACTGACATTAAATAAACCCAATAAGAAGAAACCCTAATATATGATTATCTTTAAAGATCTGACGTGAATTTTGAAATCACGGGTGTCAATTATTATATTCTATTGAATACAAATGTCTATCTGATTGATTTTGTACAGCGAGAAATATTTTAATGAAAAATGCCAATAGTGGCACACCTCACAAATGTAATGGCAAGATGCAATTTAGGTCTGCACTTAGTGAATTTCTTTCCCTTTGACTAGACTTGATTGCCAATTCAGGGTACCACAATAGAAGAATGAGAAGTGTGTTATTGGAAATTATCTTCACTTAGACTGTCAAATTACTCTTTTACTATAAAGCACTGAACGATGCAAGAGCATCAACCATGACTCACAGGACACAACCAATCCCAAAATAAATCAATACTTAATGTCAGACAAGATAAAATTGCTAGAATGAAAATCAAATTAACTAACCCACTTTGCCTACACCTGTCACTACACTGTCAGAATAATTTGTTGTGTTCTCTGTGGTAGGAGTATAGAGTGCATGTAGATGAGAAAAAAATGAATTTTGGTCTAACGCAGCCTTAGGTTTTTGTGAACTCTTGAAAACTATGATCATAGGCAGCAAAATAAACAAGCCATTTTTTTGAGTAATGCCATTATTACGATTAATATGATTGAATTACTTTTTTATTACATATTATTAGTAGTATTGATATTACCCCTGTTGCTGCTTCTACTATAATTACTGTACAACACTAGAATTGTTTTGTAATCATGTTAAAGTCTGGACATACAGTAAGTCTTTGTAAAAATAAATTCACATTGTGACTAATCTTAAAAAAACAGTCTTCTGCTTAATTTCACATTATTACAGTCACTCTGATAATATTATTTTAGAAGGATTAACACACCCTGAAGCCTGACGTTAAAAACAGCTGTGCTGGGGAGGACCTTGATCTTACATTAATACAGGCCCTCAGGTGCATATTACAAAGTGTTGGTAAGCAAGCCAGGCAGTGGAATATACCGTATTAGGAGCAGAAAAATCCTGACGTTGGACAGGTGTAAGGATTATGGACACTGGACAGAGGGAAGTAAACCCATGCATTGTGGGTGATAAAGATTCCTAGCCAGGGTGTTAATCTCAGGGTCGTGTAACACACAGTACAGGTTTAAAATCTGTTTTTATGCAAATGCGCCATGTCCTGGTGCTGACTTCAGTGTACCCTGCTCACTCTCGCCTTGCTTAAATTTATAATGGCTGTTGTACTCCAAGCAAAGGTATTTGCTGTGTTTTTCACATGCTTGCTGGATTAGCTCTATTTTGCATTAATGCAAGTTGTTTTTACTGCTGAGTCAAATTCTTGTTTGCTGCAGTAATTGAATTTCCTCATTATTTGTGGGGGTGTACAAACACTTGACGGCAACTTTGCCTGGTGTTGATAATATCTGGGTTAGTGTCAAGGATTAATGAGGCAAAAAGTTAATTTATTTAAAACTTGCTCAAATCTATTTATTGTATTTTTCTTTTTCCTACTAATCTTTTCTTCTCCCCATGTTTTAGATGTGGACTAAATTTGAAATGGTCTTTTACCTTTGTTTCTCTTTGACTTAAAACATCACCCCCTTCTTATAAGAAAATGACATTTTTATTTTAGAAAAGCATGACAGTTTTACACTGTTGTGCCATTGTTGCAAAATCCCTTCTGCCTCTAAGGGTGTGTTGTAAAATCAGGGATCTCAGCCCTTTTCCTTAAGGGCACTTTTGTTTTCTTGTTCTAACAAGCCTGTCTAAATGACACCTTATTAGAAGTGACAATGGGCATGACTTGACCTTATAATAGTTTATAGCAGAAATTGAATGCTTTCTGGTACCCATTAGTTAACTGAAAGTCCAGCTAAATAAAAAAACGGAAGACATACAGTACAAGTTTGTACAAGATCAGGTTTGAGAACACTCTCTATCAAGCAAACATAAGTCTCTATCAAGTCTAGCGGAACTAAGCACATCTCCCCTTTATTTTATTCACAAAGTGAAATAGAATCAGGTTCCAGGTGAGGAAGAAACATTCGCATTTCGACCTCATTAAAATGGATTTCTCACCCAGTTATCTGATGAAGGTGGAACAAACACATGTGTGCCCAATACATTGCCCATTATTTCAAGTGCTGTCCTGCTACCACACAGATATTCCTCTTTCCAGCTTGTCTGCAGGTACAGGAGGATGGCTCAGGTTCATTGCCATTTTAATAGCAGTGGTGTTTTCATTTGTATGTGACCTCCCCTACAACTGATGCTGATCCTGGAGACGAAATCGATCACATCGGATATACAGCACATTCATATTTCATAAGTGTAGACTCACGGCCCTAAGCCAGATATTGTTTTTCTTTTCATTTTGAAGGTAAATTTGGAAAATATGGCTATAGAAAATTCTATTTTATAGAGTTGTTCACTTAGTGGTTCACACTGCAATATTTCTAAACTACATACAGGAGCTGTCTGCTTTACAATGATAAATTAGAAAGAGACTCAACTGTATCTACCTGGGTGAGATGCTGAAGTCACTATCCACATCCATATTATCCAACAGCCCCACTACATAGCAGATCAAGCTAAGACGTAAGAAATTACTTAAGAAAAAATATTCAATCAACATTGATTGCTCCCCACCAAATTAAGAGGGAGATCTAGGTAAAAGTGAAATTGCAAAACCAGATTCGAATTTAGCCAAAATGTCATGGGCTCTTTAATGACAGCTCAGGGCCCCAGTATATTGTGTCATGTGAATAATTGCATCTCCTTCAGCATAATGTCCCCTGTCACCATGCTGGGTCAAAGCTGTATAATTCTCATTTGATGTTTGGGCTGCATGCATACAAAGTCATTATCTGTGTTGCACATCTCTTGTTCTTAAAGTTAAAGCAAAGGGGCTTACAGTATATAACACTATAATGACTGGGATAGAAACAACAACAAAAGACACTAACCTGTGCTAGTAGTAATTCTAGCATTATGTGCTACATTATTTTACAATTGCTTGGGTTTAAACTAGATATAATCTTGCATATACTGTAACTGTCAGTAGTCATCACATTCATTGTAGGACTACAGATAAATTACCTAGGAATTGCTGCAGAAAATTTCACATTTTTATTCTGAAATGGTACAGGAAAGAGCATATCGAACTAAATCTTGTTAAACTGGATACAATGAGAAAGGTTAAAAAATTGTGCCACTGTCCTGAAGCCCCACAACTTAATTCTCTCTTGTGTGTCAATGTCAAACAGGGCTGTAAAAGACCCAAATTCTAACAAAAACATAATCTAACAAAAACATAACAAAAACATGAACATAAGTAACATAATCATCCTAGTTTTGTCTTCACCACAAAAACAGCACCTGAAACATGAGATAGCATCAGAGAATCGTTATATTCAACCTCTAAAATATTTTAAGAAACGGATAGAAAAAAAACGTATCTGAAATAGTCAATCTTCTTCATACAACATGACCTTCAATATTCAAACTACAAACTTTAATACCTGTATGTGCACCTTGAAAATTAAAGTAACCAAAGAACCACTGACACAAGACCTTTGTTCAGAAAAAGGGTGATTGTTGCCTGTTACACATTATTATGCCATACAGTAAATCATTTTTAGAGTTTGCTTTACATGAGCAAATGATTTTTTTAATTATGAAATTAATACTTTTTATTTTGGTTATTAAATGCAACAGTAATTTACTCTGAAATTATTTAAGGGTTTGTTGGGAAGTTGCCTCACACAAAGATATTTACAAAATATCCAAGCAATACCAACAGAATAGGTTAGTTGTAATGGTAATAGTGTGCCACTGAAATGCACATATAAAAAATGGCTGGAAAGATATGAAATATGGATAACTATTCATAACAAAGTGTTCTTCACAGTAGGTAGGTCACAGGGCAATTGTGGCATCATGCCCAGAAAACATTAATCTCTCTCTGGCACCAATTTTCTGCTTTTCACCTGGTCAGTGTTTTTTAAACAAGGTCAGCATACAAAAGCTTCTGAATTTTTTTATTTTATAGGACTGGACACATTTCTAAACAAAATAGATTCTGACAGTAACTTTCAAACCATGTTTTGCCACCATCTATTTCAAAACTCGACATGTAGCCCTTATCGCTACTGTATCTGAAAACAGTAGCATAGGAGCTGAACATACAGTATATTTTCTGTATGCTAGTTTATCTTCAACATCTCTAACTTTGTGTTGCTGTTAGAAAAAAAGTTGTATATTTCAGAACAGTCCTTATACAGTACCCACATGTCCACATGTGTGTAGACTATAGCTTTTTTTTTCTTAATTTCTCTTCATGGGTTAAAGAAACCTATATGCAGTTATTTATTAAATACAGGATCTATAGCTACTCATGATCAGACTTTTGAAGACTGATTTTTTCATCTAATTAGGAATTTAACACTGGAAGATGCCAGCAGCTTCCAAGCAGTGCACATTCAATAGGATGATAAAGGGAAACAAATTAGATTACGAGGTTAAAATGTGACACCATCATGGATAGAAAATCTAATTTTGTTATAGACTAGTTCCGATTTCAGCAGCACTCAAAAGATATGATAGGCCTAAAGAACAATTCAGCAATATGATAATTTCCAGTCAGGAAAGTCATCTTCCTGGATTAGGTTTAGATATTGTATCACAATTATGTGGATTGTGGATTTGTAGAAGTAACAATAACCAGCAATAATGCTATAAATTGTACCTACTTACACATACATGTAGAACATAAGAAAGAATTGAGAGGAGGCCATCCGGCCAACTGAGCTTGTTTGGTTGCTATTTGATTTGTGAGACTCACTGTGCCATTTCTCAGAAGAAGTGAAAGAATTAGCTTTAACATCCAGATACAGAAGCTTCTTCAAGGGCTACGACAAGCCTTTGTGTGAAAATAGACCTTCTGTGTTCAGTTTTAAATGCACTTTTCTCTAGTTCCCCCTTGTGGCCAATGACTGTGTGAAACTGCTGATGTTGAAGAAGCCCACTGGGTTGATTTTCTCAGTGCTCATGGGTTATGTGAATATTTGTCCCTTCATAGTCTTCACCCATCAATATGAACAATAATACAGATACAGCAACGAGGGAGAAAGAAGAGAGCTTAGTCAAAACCATGGATTGTGTTAACATATAAGTGCAAAGTGATCCACACTGGTAGCAGGAACACACCCTTTAAATACTACATTGGAGGTTTTTTTTGACAGATTCTTCTATGTCCTCAACAAGACAATGTGGGAAAGTAATAATGAGTAAGAAGAAGTCTTGCAAACCAATTGTAATAGTGCTGTAAATGTAGAGAAACCAGAACTACAGCCCTGCACCATTCCTGAAACAGTAACAGTAACTGCATCATGTGTTCTACTAACTTAAGCATCCAGTGATTTTTTTAAATCTTAACCCATAACAAGTGTTTTTGGCTTAAATGATTTGCTGTTCCTTGCCAGAAATGTCAGGCCAAATATATGTTTACTGTTAAAAGGCTGTGGCATTTTTGATAAACCAAGGTGTGGGCTGATTTATTGAATTAATCAGGGAGATGGAAAGCTGATAACACAGAAATTTTAAATACCTGTGACGTTCAACCCATCTGAACGCTGGCACCACACCAAGCGGGAAGATCCTTTCCACGTGCTAGTCATCCATTTATATTCATAGCACTCTCCATCTGTGCAGAAGGGAGAGAAGCTTAAAATGCTGAAGTACGGTGTCAAGAATGAAACCCGAATCACCATACAGGAACATTACCACGATCTACAGTTCAGTGATCCGGTCACACTCTAATAATGAACGAACCAGCCAACATCTATAAAGGAAGTCTGTACATAATACCCTGGCATTCATTCGCCTGGGTGAGGAAATGACAGCCCTGTCACAGCCCCCCTCTCTCACGGGGAATGAGTCAGGGAGGCAGCTGCAAACAGTGAAGTTGGGGTGGAGGAAGGGGTGCTAGAAAAGAGGTGCGCAGAGATGAGGGCAGCCGGCAAGTATTTAAAAGAGCAGAAGTGCGAGATGAGAATTTGACCTCCTCCTGAACTCCTATTAACTAACACAATGAGTAAATATGACCGTCGTCACCTTACCAATTTTAAAGCGGTCGTAACCCACTGGTTTCTGTAGAACGTTGCTCAGACAACATCAGGCATAACATATTTTGGTCTCTAAGCCGATATTTCTCTGGGTAACTGTCAATGGATATTACCACTCAGTCCTAAGAATCATTTGAATTACTTTAATGCCAGATAATACAATGGAGGCTAAAGTTCATGAAACACTGACCTGTGCAGGGCCTGGATTCCCATACTTGTTCTGGACATTCCTGTTGGTTGTCCTGCTCCTGAGCAATTACAGCCCTAGATCGGACCTGCACGGAGCCGAAGCCTAGATCTTCTCCGTTGATGCAGGTGAGCTGACACGAGCTCCAGGAAGTCCATTCTGTCAAATAGCAGTCTCCTTTAAAAACAAGGCAAAGCATTTAGTACTGTAAGTCTCTTTCTTCAACGGCATCTAGAATCATTTTTCATATAAATAATGAGGTGATTTCTCTAATGGTCATAAAATGTAAATCCATACTTTCAGTGTTTCATCAAGCAGCTTGATTTATTTTGAGCAATGGAAATCTTCGACGTGAGTGATCTGAAAGAAGCAGGCCACTTCATAGGCATAAATGTGGCACTTTACTGTTTCATAGATCCTGTGGCGTCTTCTTTAACAGTTCGATAACTAGACTTTTCACTGCTACATACAGTATATTCATAAACAATAATGAGCAATTCTGTTTTCGTGCATAAAAAGGAGAAATTATTTTCAAATCATCAGGTAATGATGCAAGATAATGCTATCACAAAGCCCCAGAACATTAAAAATGTATCTCATGGTTAATGGCCATAACAAATGAGCACAGAAAACATTGTTAATGGGAGATTGTTTGCAGATCTAAGTTCCTTATAAATTATTAAAGAGCTAATGTGTGCATGTAGACTAGAGCCCAGATATGCAAATGCTAGCAGGGAGGTTTTTATAATTACGTTCCCAGGCCCAGACTTGTTTTACTGATGCACTATAAAGACATTTTCTATTACACTCTTCAAGTATAAATATTTAAATCTGTCTACTTAGCCTAAAGAAGAATGCAGAATGATTTATTCATCCAGGAATTCTGATATCGCTTTTTCAAGTGTTATTAAATTAATGGCATGTTATTTTTCATTGTGTGGAATTAAATCCACTGACCTTACCATTGTTCACATGGGTTGTACAAAATTATAAGTGAACATTCCTATGAATCAATGGCTAACTGATCTCATAAGAACATTTTTTTTTGCGCTTTTATTTCCAAATGAGTCCACAGTGGTTATTATTTTCAGCTTCACATCTGGACACCACCACTTTAAAACACCTAAATCACCTCCAGTAAATAAACGTCTCTTACATTTGTCATTCAGATGCCATAGATTTAAATAGGTCATATTTTCTATAGACAATGTTTGAAATGGGTGTCTCAGCTGTATACACACTGACAGGAGGCAGGTGGCTGAATGCTCTGATGATGTCAAAGCAATTGAAACCTAAGACAACATGACATACAGTAGCTTAAAATAGTCTGTATCAGAAATCTAAAACCACAACTGCCTATTTCTAAGCTTTTCTTTAAAAAGCAAAAAAACATTCAAAAAGTTCTACTTTAAAGGTTAAGAAGACAACAGCACTGACATCAGTGCAAATGATGAAGTAAGGCATGCTTTTCTTTGCCATATTTTAAGGCACAATAAAAAGTAGACTTTCTTATAGTCTGGATTTGTCACTGATGCCATTAAATTGCTTCATTATAGAGCTGTCACATTTTCATACTACCGTAACACAAATTGTGTCAAAATGTGCTGTTGGATGTGTCAGTATCATAGAGCTGGAAAGTGAAATAGATGTCCTTCGAGGTGCAGCTAAAAATATGATGCATTATTATTTTTATTGCCAGAAAATGTTTTTCCTCTTTATTCCCAGCTTTCAGGTCGAAATCTTTGATTTCCAGAGAACCTGTAGGCAATTTGTGACATTTGGTTTTGACACTGCTATTTATCGTGGTGAAAACTTTCATGTATCTGATATTGTGTTCACTGCATTAATTGGGTAAATTAATTAATTCATTCATTTATTCATCTCGGGAACAATAATTCAATGTACCAAAACAGCAACGCATAAGCACATGAAAATTTGTATTCAGAATATTTACAGATACACTGTAAATTATATTACACTAAAATTCCAATAAAAGAAAGCTGCACACATTTTTAAATCTTTAAGTAATCCTGAAATGTCTATTACCATGTATAATCCAAGAAAGCAGGATTATACACTAAACGGCCACTCAGGTACAGTATTTTCTAAATGTAGTATCCAAAATTAAACCACAAAAAAGTGAAATTGATAGAAATGTTTATGCATACCTGGGCATGGGACTGTGCAACTCTCCTCCAGTTTGATGTGTTTATCTCCATCTACAGATGGCTCCAATTCTCCACACAGCTCCTCATCTACAACACTACCCTGGTCTTCCTTGGATCCATCAAACACATAGCAGGAGATGTTCCTGAACCGTAACCCTTCTCCGCAATGTGCGCCCTGCAGAGGGAAACTTCGTTTGGTGACTGACGACGTGCTGCACAAATACACCAGCTACTCCGATCACCACATATCGGGGGATCCTTTCTGTCTTATGAGGTTATGAATATTCTGTTTTTGTTTTTGGCTTTACTATCCTAAAACATTAAAAGTGATCCATCCATCATCAGATTATCAGAAATCTGAAAATGTTTAGTTAAGGCTTGTGGCAACCTGGAGCCCATCTCAGGATCCCAGACAGGATGACTGTTCCATCCCAGGATGCTCATACACAGGAACACAAGTATTCAGGGACTAACTGAGGTATTAATTAACCCAGGTACTGTCTTTAGAAGACTGGACGAAACCAGAGCATCCTGAGAAATACCTCCACACTGAAGGCATCAAACCCAGAATTATAAAAATAATTCTCTGCTTTCACGTTTTAATCCATTGCATTATGCCATTTCAGAGCACCCCACGGCTCATAAATGTGTACAACTGCAGTAATGAAAGAGATCAGACACTGGAGATACAGGATGTGGTTGAAACGGTACAAATGCCCGTGCAGACTGCAGGCTGAGCCCTCAAGCCCAGACATTGTTATTCCTAACCTGGGCTCTGTGTCATCGAAATGAGCCATGACTGGGATTCCCCAGGCGATTGAGCACCACAGGCGGAGCGCTGAGCTTTGTCTGAGGCTGAGGCAGACGGAGAGCCTTCAGCTCGGCAGGTAGCAGCAGAGCCCCCATCACTTGCGAGGTGCCTGAGACCGGGCGGGACACAGAGGAGAGCCGCACGCTCGGAGCCGTAACGTCCGAGACGAGCCCCCAGTGCGAGAGGCAGGCGGATGGCCTGACAAGGGCCTTGGGAAGTGTGTCTCCTGAGCAAGCAAGAGAGCTGCTGTGGCAATCCACGTTTATTAAGAACAGTCCAGCCCAAACTGGAGCGAATGGAAAGATCTGAATTTTCTCAATGAGAGAAAAAATGTGCAATAATAATGTATTATTACTGTATGTAAATGTATAATAGTCATGTACGGTATATAATGATCATACAATCTCAAACTAGTCATTTGGCGCAGTGTTCGTTTTGCCTTCGGATTGCATTTCCATATGCTGCGTGTCTTACTCGAATGACAAAAGAGAGACCAGCAGGAAAAGTGTTTAAGACATTTCCTGGAAACTCGGTACAGTACTTCAGACCTGGCTTTTACACATAGTTTAAACCATAGTCAATCACTTTGTCACCCCTCTCCATAAACGTTTAGCATATCTTCCGCACATTAATTATTTAGAAATGTGCTGCATATTTTTTGATAGAATCCAATCACCACCCACAACCACGGCTGACACACAGATGCTATACACTGCAGCCTAATAACCATAGTGGGCTTTAAGTCACTGCTAAATTTGTATTTTTAAGAAAACCTTTTTGACTTTTTGACAGAAATTAAAATGTATTTATATACAGTCTGAAAAGTGACATTTGAAGCTTCCTTTGCATATGAAAAACAAAATGCAAACAAAAGGGAGAATACATGGGGATATTTTGCAAAAAGCAGGATTCTTGTACTGACCTTTCTAAGATGTAAAAAAAATATTATACACTTGGTCACTCCAAGATTATAACATCTGGTGACAGAAGGCAGCTTGTGTACTGACCAAAAATCTGTAGACAATCCAGTAAAGTGCACTCAGCTGGAGCACACACTGGAACTACTGCAGATAACTGCTGCCTGATACTGTTCTTCAATAATTTATTAAGAATGCCAGTCATGACAACCTTTCCTGCCATTTGACATTCCTCAAATGAGTAAAACATGACCAAAGGATGACAGCATGGAAAAACGTGGAAACAAAATGTCATTTTCTTTGACAGACCTCAACTCCGCACTCAGACCACCGACTGTACTGCCATCTGTAACAGGGTTTGACTGGACATGGTTTCCACTGCTCCATCTGTGAAGGACAGGGCCTCCCGTCCCCCTGGGAAGCCTGAATCACAGACCTCCTCCGCCACATCTTGCCTGAAAAGTAGGAGATGTCAATTAAACAACCGGAGGGCAAAGCAGGCAGTCTGGAGTAAGGGGGGATTTTTTTTCTGTAATTGGACTAGCCGACCTACTGTATGTAACACGTATTACTTTGGGAAGCCACCACATGCCTAAAATGAATAAACAGACGCAATCTTTTAAAAATAAAAATGAAACAATGGAGCACATAAGAAAGACTTGTTTGATAAGCCTTTACACTTCCCACTGTCACAACTCCTTCGTAAACACTACACGACACTAGATAACAACATGCACAATTGTGGGCTATTGGTTGCAAAGAAACAGTACAGTCTGAAGACATCATTTCAGCCAGAATCGAAGAGCAGAACCCCAGGGACTCCAGGCAGAAAGAAGTGGGGTGAAAATAATAAAAGGCACCATTAAAGACTGAAGCGCTGATAAAGACCTTGTGTCCGGGTAATGTTCAATTGAGATTTTATTTCACTATATGGCTTTTCAGCATTTATTTGATCACGTCGTCTAGTCTTTCCGACAGAGTTATGAGGGTGGTTTTTATCCCCATTCAAGGAAAGCTTTCATTTGCTTAGACAATGCTCCTTCAACTCTCCTCTTCCCAGGGACAAGCTAAAGGAATACCATATTTCTTTCATATGCTCCAGACTACATGACTAATGGTACTGTACATTTAGAAATGTAATGCTGTTTTAGTATGGGTTTTTTTTGTGCAAATAATAAGATTGGCAGTGCATTTCCTCACTATCAATTCTAATTCTTGCAACCATTTCCAATATCCAATTTTCTATCTCAATCAAATTTAAGAAGACCGGTGAAAGCTTTTATAAGAGACTGAGCAGGATTAACAGTTTGTTCCAGAAATGAAGTTTAGTGAGGATGGTGTCACTGCAACTACAGTATTTTAAAAAATGAGTTCTGAGGGACCTTGCCCAGTGGACATCTAACAGGAATCGAAGGAATAATGGCAAATCAACAAAATGTTTAAAACAGTTTAAAACATTTAAATAATTGCCAGATCTCGTTGTATGTTAGGCAGGCTTTGGACATTCACAACTTTATGTGAACGGATATCTTTATCATTACGAAATGCTTTAAATCAGTGGCATTGCACTTTTACACATCATTTAGAGACCCCGAAGGAAGTAGCAGATTAAAGACAATGAAGTGAGTTAATTTTACTGATATTAACAGTAATAATCCACTCTACACAGAATCAATTAAGGAAGTTCCCCAACCAAGTTCACTGCACTAGCTTGCCTACACAATCCTTATCTCTATATACAATTTCCTTTGAATCTGCCACACTCAATGATACAAAGGCACAGTACATTACCATGGTCCAATTGTACATTAATCTCAGTGCACCAACCTTTGAATAGTCAGCAATATTAGATACTAGCTATTCTAACATTTTAAACATCCAGTTCTTCAATACATCAGATAAACTTTCTCCCTGATTTTTGTGTGCACCCCAAAGGTACACTTCTAAAGTCTACCTCAAAGGTACTTTTCCTAAAAAGGCTCACGGGGGTTATGTAAACTGTCTCTTGCCTCTGCCCAGTTCCCCCCACTGTTCTCACCAAATACTGTAAGTTGAACAGATTATGTCCTGCCAAGTACGAGCCCTTAAGCAAACTGTGTCTTTCATGCAAAGAAATGTTATTTTCTACATGCTGTTTTTCCCACGCAAAAGCAACCAAACCTCCAAGCCTTTTCTGATGTTGAACAAAATAATAATTCTCCATTATCCCAGGAGCAGCCCTCTCCAGAGCCAGATTTACCAGCTGCCAATTCCTTCCAGGAATCTACTTTCCCTGCACTCTCACCAAAGACATTTTCAAAGACTGCAATCCCCTCCCCCCACGCCCCAGGCAAAACCCTGTTTAATTAGTGGACAGGGCTCCTTCTTTCCCATTTATTTACTGGTTTAAAACTATACATCAGCTCCCGTCTCCTCTAATCCAATTCCAATGTATTTTTTGCACTCTAAAAGTGGTCTCCACAGGCTGCCTGGGCACCACTGGAGCCAAGAGAAGCCTGAGGAAACAGCAGGTGGGAGAGGTAACCGGGAATGAGCTGTCATTCACTACACCTGGTCCTTAAAATGTGTTTTAATTAAGTCATTTTAATTATTTATCATTGCAGGTAGAAGTGTTAGGAATACGCATCGACTGTTTTGAGTGCTTGATTAAAATCTTTCCCTCTGTGCTTCTAATTATTTCTTCCCAACCATCATCTGTGCAGGGCTTCCGCTAGTTAAAACTCACCAGAGGTAGGATTTTCCTCAGAGCCAAAGCTGAGATAAAAACTGCAATGCAAAAGACAAAAGGAGGCTGCTTCATACACTGGATGAATTCCTTTCTCTTAAAGAGATCCCTCTTTGCCTGCTGTTTCCTCAGCTAACTCAACCTTTTGCCAAGGGATGTATTAAGACCATCTCAGCATCCTCTGCCAGTATCAGTTTTTCAGATACGATGCAGACACACCCCAGGAGATACTGTATGATGCCGATGATGTGTTATGGGGCACAGAAGAGAAAGCGATAATGGACTAGAATGATTTATGCATTACAGACTATATACTGTACAGTATACAGCATACACGTACTGTATTTAATATACTGTATGTTCATATACAGTGTACACTAAAACTTAAGTCTTTTGTAGGTACTGTTGAAGGGCAGTTTTTGGACAGAATATTTTATGTAAAATGGGGATCATCCTTTTAAATCGCCATTGATATTGTGACTAATATGATGATTTCCACATTTGGTCGAGACAACACTCGGAAGACAATAAACTATGTTATTTTTAAATTAAAGTGCGCATGCAGTTGATTATGACTGCAGTTCCAATCAGGTTATTATCCCTAGGCATGCTGGGTGCTCAGGTCACAACCATCCCCATAATGAAACAATGTGCTTGTTTTTCGTCTTGAAAGTGACCTGACCTTCAGGCAGGTTGGCTACACCAACAGAGTAAATCTAACATGTACAGCGCCCCCCTGGATGATGGGATGGCAGCCACAGTGGGCCAGTACGCTTCCTATCAGTGGGGAGGAGAACAGAGTGATGGAGCCAGTTCAGATATGGGGATGATTAGGAGGCCACGACTGATAAAGGCCAATGGGAAATCTGGCCAGGACACCTGGCTAACAGCCCTACTCTTCGAGAAATGCCCTGGGATAAGTGGTGTATACACTATGTAATGGCAGGGGGAAGGCAGAAATATGGCCACATTGCATATTCATCTACATTTATGGGGTTTGACAATACTGGGGAGAAGAGTGACAGGATAGGCTTTACCTTTTAGTCCACATGTCTGAGAGCACTCTGACCAGGGAGACCAGTCAGACAGCTGACAGTTCACTGGGCATTCCACAACACAGGACATGTTCATTTGCCAGTTTTTCTCCAAACCAAGCTGGAAGAAAGGAACATCAACGTTTAGCATTTGTCAAGCTGATCTTGTCAAAAACGGTCTTCTACTTTTACAAATTGCCGTGGTGCTACTGAGTGACACACAGGCCTTCAGTCCCCTCCATCTGACTAGAAGGCTCTAATTTGATTTTTCAGATTCTCTTTTCTCTACTATAATGGTTCCTGGACAGTTGTCAGGCTCACATGAATGCTTTACAGTTTGCAACGAGCACTCGCCTTTTAGTGGAAATGGGGTCGTGGGTTAAATTATGATGGGAGCTGAATTACTGCCTTACCCTGAGGGCAGTAGATAATGAGGTTCCAAATGTACAGTAGTGTGTATTAGTGAGTTCAGTGAGTGCAGCCTGAGCGCTGACATTATTCGCAGTCACATATAAAAAGGAACTCTATACTTACTACAATTGGTAAGAGCACCGTTTCCAAATTTCACTCTGAAAACAAACTTTGAGTATTATTCAAAGAGGCATGAATCACTCAAAAGCTGGTAAAAACGTTTTATCCTGTAGCTTATTAGCAGTGCTTAATGTAATCAATTCTGCACAGTTATCCAAGCAGGCCGCTTTTCATGTGCAGCTAATGTCACCAGCGACTTCAGGTGATTTAAGGGTGTGTGAAGTCAGAGGATGTTTTAAATGTACGTACTCCCCCACAACCCTGAACTGGAAGAAGCCGTTAGAAAACGAATAGATGGAGATCCCTGTCAAATAAATGCAGATTTTTTTCTTATTACACATGAAAATAATAACTTATAATATAAGGAATAGCACATGACAAATTCAGACTAAAAATTCACAATTACCTTACAATTGCAGAGGGGCTGGCTTAGAGTTGGTGTTAGTATTTGTATGAGGGACCAAGATCACAGCTCAGCGCAGGTGATAAGAAAAGGGTTGGCCAATAATGATCCTGGGGGCCATAGTCTAGCAAGTTTGAATTTGTCAAATACTAAATACTTGGAGCCATTTCGCCTGGACCATTTAAGCAGGTGATTTGTTGAGTTTAATAGTTTAGAGATCCTGTTGCTCTCAAGGATCACAACTGGGCAAACAAATGAATTTTTCTCAAATTGACACTTATATTTGATCCATATCCTTACAAACAGATGATGGAAAGGTATAAGACCTTCAGGACTGTGGCTCTCCAGGAAGAGTCTTTTGGTCCCCCCTGGCTTAAGGTATTCAGGTTTTACTGCTGCTGCTCTTTGCTGGACCTAATAATGAATTTGCAGGTGTTTTTCCTGAGCTTAACTATTAAATTGCTCACCCAAGACCTCTTCTCAAAAACACACAATGAAAACAAGAAATGAGGTTTTTACACTCCGCTGACATGGGGACTCACTTCTTCGCAGTACTTGAGATCGACGGACTTGCCGTCGCTGCGGACGCAATCCAACATCCGGGTCTTCACACCACTGCCACACGCCGCTTTCTCACTGAGCTGACAAGTGCTCCAGTCTGTTAGAGAAGGCACAGCATCCGCAGAGCTGGTGTGAAGGACAGGCCACCACACACAAACGACACATGCTCCCCAGCCCTCCAAACACCGGGAAATCTGACAAACTTTTAACCAAGTAGGTAGCTGCGTCAGCATGCGTAGGCTGCAGACAAGTAAAGTTTTATTCTGAGGTTTATATGAAAAGAGAAGAAAAGAAACACAATGTTTCGGGTGTGGAGCCTTCTTCCGGTGTGCCTACTTGAACTACTTCACCCAGCTACAGTACCTACTTGAAGTACTTCAGACCACTTCTGCTGCGACCCACTATGCCTTCCGCTAAATCTTTTTCTAGATCTCTTTGTCGTTCCTTCTCCTCCTCCCCGGGTCACTTGCCCCCTTCTCTCACCAAACCAGCTTTCCGTCTCTTCACAGCGATCTGTTCCAAGACCAACGTTTAACCAAGCTTGTTCTGAGCTCTGTGCCTCAAAAGGGAGCTACAGTATATGCAGGTGAAATCCAAGACCGACTTTGCTGTTGCAAATGTCAAAAGATCCCTTCTCTGTTCGAATTCTTGATTTGTTATGGAAGTAATGTGAAAGAATATGCAGATTTTATAGAGCAGAATGATGCTTCAATATTTTTAACTTACAACAACAAAGAAGCATAATTTAGGAACAATAGTCTATATTAAGTTTTAATCACCCTTAATAAGAGATAAATGTCATCAAACTTATTTTTTTTAATCTTGTAAGCTAAAATAAATAATGTATGTGATTTTGAGGGTATGATTTAAGCTGAGCAAATGATGAATAATGTTTTGATTAAATGTTTCCTTACTTAATACAGACCTACAGGTATTGTCAGATAAACATTATCATCAGCCACCAAATGGATTTATAAAACACTTCAGGAGGATCAGGTTTTTGAATGATGTTTAGATTACATTTTAAAATTCAAAATGTGAAGTGTTTCAGCTGTTTCACATGTTTGATTTGTAGGAGACCAATAATCTGCAGCTGTTTTAAATGATTTGGGCCCTGTACAACAAGCTGGAAGATGGGAAGTACTGTAACTTTGACTGAGAGCCAAGAAACCACAGCGTCTCCACTGAAGAGCCTGCAGTAGCTCTGGGGGTTGTAAAGCAAAACCGTGCCAGTGCAGTTCAGATGGTTCTTGGTAAATTAAAAGCCTTGCTCGTAAAAACCTATGAACTCTCTCAGAGATGATGTACTTGGACACTGAAATACTTCATGCCTTTGGGACAGAATGGTAGGAAAGTCGAGCAGTAGCAACACTAGCAGTTGATGTACTGTACAGTACACAGCTCACACAAAAAGCCAGTGTGGTCATAGATTCCACTCAGAGAACAGATGACACCCTGCTTTTGAAAAACAATGAGATTGTTGTTACCTGTGATGTTGTATGAGTAATGGTAGCAGTTCTTGTTCAGATTGCAGGGTTCTGTTTCTGTGGAAGGTGGACACTGCCTTCCTTGTCCGGGCAGCCTAACGAGAAACGCAGATCTCTCCCGAGTGTGGTTTCCATTGCAGGGCTTCGGAAAAGGGAAATCACATTGAGACATGTGTAGTTTTATGTCTATTGTTCACCATATGACAATCAAAACAGGGTATCTGACCTGAGGAAAGGTTCTTGTCCTAGTTTTCTGCTAGGTACAACTGGCATCTAGTGGGGGCCAGTTACTTCTAGTTCAGGACATTTCAAAACCCATTAGAGAAACCAGTTTTCACTACATAATTTTTTAAAGTGACAGTTTACATTCTGCTTGTAACGATAGAAATTAACTGGTGAGCAATTTAAACCACTTCATGCCAATACATGAGGATTCCACTGTACCTATTAATCTCTCATTCCCATGACCCAAGAGTCTTGTTTTTGTGACATTTTTAGATTAAATCAATTTTAATTTGCTGGATTTTAAAACTGCACATTTATTTTCTACCATCAGATCTACCAAAACTAATCACTATTTGTTACTAGAAGGGTGTTTTCATTAGGTACCATAGAAGACAGAACATGGACACGACAATTATCAGCTTGACCTCAGTGCTTCAATTCTCCTTCATGACATCTGACCTGTCATGATTCTAAAATATAAGGTTTCATTCTAAAGATGTGATGAATATAAAACTACGAGGTTTCAAGTAATTCATAAACATACTTTATATGGTGTGAAGTTGTAGAGGGAGTCTATTATGGGCCCAGGATGGTGCAAAGTCTTCACTCCTCATAACTTACCCGTAACAAACCACATTTCTCAACAGGCCACAGGATACTTAGAGTCAGTTCTTTATCTGAGGTCACTGAGCACAGGTGATGTCAATGAAGTTCTGTGCCCAGGACATACAGTATATGATTGTGGCAAACTACTGTGTTACTTGATAGCAAGTGGTTACTAATAAAAATGGGGGGCTTGACAGACTGCGAACTAAGAAGAAAAGCAGCCTTTTGATAAAAATAGTGAACTGAGGGGATGGTATATACATGTTTCCGTTTTCTGGGAAAAATACTTGGTAATTGGTAGGGAGGACCAATTGGTAGAGTGGTAGGATGACAACTGGTAGTCACATACAGGTAGTTAGGACACAGAAAAAGTGTTGTTAGTCCTAGAAAAGGGGAAGTTCTTGTGTTGCATTTACTGTATGACCTTCATTGTTTACTAGCAGGGGACAAGCCAGAAAGAGCCCAGCGGGGGACCAGCAGGTCCCAAGGTGTCCAAATGGGATCTGTATCCCCTTTATTTTTATTGTGTGTTTTAATTACGAAACAGACCCATTTTCACAAAAACAATGATTTCACACTCCCACAAGTTATTACATGTTCTTAATATCATATGTATATTCCTGTGTTAGAATACTAAACTTAAAACACAACTGAAAAGACAATTATCACACAAGCTTGTTCCTGTACGCTCTTCTGTATTATTTTTCTATTGAAGTGTATGGTTGACACAGCTTCCTTCAGGCAGGTTATATACTGTGCAGTATGTCTATCCATCCTCAAGCAATTACTTGGACCAAGAGCCATTCTGGCTCCTCTGGGATTTTATTTCATACCCAGAGTAATTAATTCTTTGCCGGATATATACAGTAGGCAGACTGCCACAGACTTATGCTGAATTTCCCACACGAGGGAATCAACCATTATACACCCCTTTCACATGTGTTAGCCACAGAGTGCCATTTGATTGAGCCCAAGCTTATTTTTCTCATATGAAATCATCCTTCTCTCCTGTCCTGTGCATCATATGAATAATGTACTTCACTCCTCTTCATACCTAAAATGGTGTTCAATTTTAAGGTGTTGAGAAGACAGCATGTCAACCCAAAATAGTCCATAGACTCAATACCTCTTTGCTTTCAAAGATGCATTGAGAATTTAAATTGTCTATTTACCCAAATTTATTGGAGTAAGAGCTGAACCTTATAAGTACCCATTCCCCACTTGTCTCCTATAGGCTTTATTTCTAGTTTGCAAACGTCTTACCAAAGGACACCTGCTCCAAGCTCCCCAGTCTGACAATACACAGTCCTCAGGACAGGGTAGCTTACTCTCCCTGGCACCCAGGGGCATCTCCTCAGGATCACAGAGGTAATCTTCAACTGGCTCTGACGGACCGTCAATTGTATTCTGCATACACCTAATGGGAAATCACGCCACAATGAAAGACAATGTTTCTTTACTCAATATTTGCTTACAATATTATATCTAAAGTACACTCTATAAATGCACAATAATTAGACCCAGAACAATGAAACACCTCACACTACAGCAGTGAAAGCACTGATACTGAGGGGAGGCTGAGCTCAGTGGTTCATCTTTGGGTCATTTCACTGGCCAGCTGTGAAGAGTGTTCGCAGAGCACAATTGCCAATTTGCAGCAGACAATCGACTGCTAGAATAGACAGGGACTAGCTGACTGGAAGAAACAAAACATCCTGTAATCTCCTGGGTGACCGTAGATGTGCCAACTTCTCCAGTTGGCACTAACTCTCCCGTAAGGCGTTGAGCATCTTCCAGCATCTCAAAGGATGAAGGCTCAGTGGGTACTGTCAGCCAACATGTAAGGAAACAACATGCATATCCAAACTGGGTGAGTAGAAAGGCCAAATTCACAACATATGGCCATTCCACTCTTGGAAAGTGACAAAGGTCATTCCACTCTTGGAATGGTTACCTGACTTTTCTTGTCTGAACACCTTCTCCGCAGTTTTCCTTCAGATCCACATTGCTCACTTTCCATACACTCCAGGGTTCCGCAACCCACACATACTGACTGCAGTCGCTAAGGCAGGGCACCACTTCGTATACCTGCAGGACACAGAAATAATGTATAACATACTGTAGCTCAGGAGGGTAGCTGCGTCAGGTGAGCTCACACCTGAAGAAGGCTTCACGGCCGAAATGTTGTGTTTTCTATTCTTCTCTTTTCCGCATAGGTGAAACCTATTACTTGTTCCTAATGCATAACATGCTTGTGCACTATACTGGAGAGAATTTTAAATTTAAAGTCAGTTTAAATTTAAAGTCGACAGATCGACTTCATCATTTCAATAGATCGTTTTTCCATTAAGCACTTCTGTTCTTAAGTACAGTAAATGCTCATGACAGATCAGAGATACAACAAAGAGCTGCATAACATTTGCCATTATGTTCACATGTACTGTACCAATATCAGTAAGTATTTCTCTCATGCAGTAAAATATACATCAGGGTTTACTAAAATGTAAGGAAATGTACTTTATCATTTGCACCTTATAATATCACGTAAGCACTTCTTGAGTATTCCATTACAAAGTGTGGCATTATTTCAGAAAGTACATTAAATTCTTACCTGGGCCTGCAGTGATTCATAAAGCATGGTGGTGTATTCATTGAAATAAAGAGACAGAAACATAAAACAGAAATGTATTAAAATAATAATTGATTAATACACATGTAAAATGAATCATTTGTGAATTCAAATGTGTTCTGATTTTCACATACAGTACAGTATATACAGTACTAACTTGATCACTTTGTGTGCACCAACAATCGTGTTATTTACTATTGATCAATCCTTTTAATTTGAAGAATAGGCAAATGGGATAGATAAAATAGTCTTATTTTTAAAAAGGTTTATTTCAAGTTCTGTCTTTTTTCCTGTAGTTAATGTGTTTTCCCTTATTTTGTGTTATGGTTCAAGAGGGAAGTCTCTACAGCTCTGACTTAGTGATGCATGAAACAACCTAGCCTTCCTACCACTGTTTAACTGAGATTATGCACTTTAATGTGAAACAGAGAATGTACGATTTAAATCTCACTGAGACATGATTTTCATGTAGCTTTAGAGAAAAGATATGAAGACTCTAATCTTTAAATATGTAGAGAAAACCTTGGATGGCCAATCAGTTTTCAGAAAAAAATATATCTTAGATGGTATTATAAAATACGTTTTGTTTCTAACATCCGCCAAAATCACATTGTAAATCCCAATTTACAATTTACAAGAGTGGGTAAAACTCTATATATTAGGTAAGGTTACAGGATCAAACACGGACTCCTTTTGTTAATGTGGTTATTGACCCAAAGCATTATGACCATATTTTATGAATATAAGTGGTTGACTTCTTCTTGGTAAGTAATTGTACTAAATCATTATTTCTTGACTTCCACAATTCTGAAATGGATAAGCATGGAATTTAACACTGCTGCTATCATTAATTCCATGGCTAATTCTACAAGTCCATTTTCCAAATCTGAATACCAAATAGAAGCAGTTAATTATGTCACAAGCAAACCATAGAACATTTAAAAGCTTTCCAAAGGTCACCAGTAAATGCTTATTTTTAATGAGGCACACTTTTGGTCACATCTGCACAGCTCACTACAGTGTTTCTCACAGTTAAAATAATTCTTTGCTTGTCATTTTGTTCTGCATAGCCTAATGAAAACCATTGCTTCAATTTGCGATTTAACTCGAGCTTATTTAATTATTTTTGGCCTCTGCAATCTCGTCATGTCAATTTCTTCCTCGGTGGTAGCCGTGGCTCGCTAATAAAAAGTGTCTGGCAAAAGCCAATGACATTGTTCAGCACTACAACAATCTATACGCCAGATCTATAAAGTATGTCTACCCACCAGCCCCTGTTAAAAACTTTCTTAATTTGAGTTTGCCAAAGGCTTGTTTACACAAAGAGATGGATACCCGCCTATGACATTCTGACTTTCCTGATCCGTGGCAGGAAGTTTGCTTAAAGCTTTGATATCGTGGGAAACCAAGTCCCTTATTCAGTTAAGCTTCCTCTGTCTATGCAGCATCAGGTTTTGAAAGACAGAGAAACAATCAATTTACTCGTCGGATTTGAATTTAAAAATTGAAACAAGGGTTTTTTAACCTCAAACAAAAATAAAAAACCATAACATCAATAGTTGTGCTGGCAATGATGTTATGAGATAAGATGGTCCATTTACCTGATTGATGTGGTCGAGTTTGGGACAAGGCCGGCCTCCGTTGTAAGGCTTTTCACGAAGCCACTTGGATCGCACCTTGACTCCACTGCCGCAGGACTTGCTGCAGCGGGACCAGTTGGACCACTCGCTGAGCTTACAGTCCGACGGACAGGGGATAATGCAGGCCTCCTCGATGTAGCCTGGGCAGACAGGACGTTTGAGGAGACCAGGTGTTGAGAGCCCATGCAGATCAGCAGGTTTAATTTACCGCAGTCACCAGCGCAGGGTTGGCAAAAAAGGTAAAAGACACACCAGTATGAAAGTGTTTAGTACCTGCAAACTGTATTTATTTTAGTGATTTTGTTTTTCTTTTAATGAAGATCATTTTGAAGATCACTACGCACAGTTGTTCTGCACTGTAGATAAACAGGCCAAACTACACCTAATATTGGTCAATAGGACAATGTTTAATAACAGAATTCCGGTGCACATAATTTTTTTTCTGTTTGTAGGCAAAAGGTTACAGTGGTTTTTAAATAATGTAGTTTATATTTATTATTATCGTTGCTTTATTGCAGAACACTGAAAGAAACCCAACCCCCATTCAATCACACAGCGATTTACTAGAATGGTGGCCATTGGCTATGGAGAGGTCAAGGCTTGAAGCAGTTGACAGACCCAAGTCCTTTCATGACTGTAATAAAGCTCAATAAACCCTCCAGCCACCTCTCACATTTAAGTGTCATTTAATTCCTTAAGAAAACTATCCAGCTCGTCTGGTACCAACAGAAACTCCTACACCCTTAGGAGAAGCAGCCGGTGCTCAAAGATTCAGAGAATGAGACAGTAAAAATTGCTTTGAATTGCTTTGAGAATTTTAAACACTATTAAAACACATTTTGCATAGCAATGACGGCACTAACACCTTTCCCCAAATATATATATACATACACATTTGGAGCACACAGCTGTTTAATGAATCATCAAACACAGAGACCCCTATAATCCTTACAGTAAGCCTTCCAGACACAGAAAGAGCTTTGTAATGTCAGCAGCAATCGATGTCTCTCATTTAATCATTGCTTTAGGCAAAGCCATCTCACTCTAATAAGGCTGCAGACAAATTAAAATAAACCATTTGGCTCTCTTCTAGGTATAAATAATCCCCTTGAACCAAAAGGGGATAATGGGAAGCACATCTATTTACAAGAGAACCTTCTTGGCCTCACCTTGGAATCATTTTCTTTTACTGTCTGAAGTTATATTCTTTTGTATCTGTATTTTTGCAAGATAATGCAAGATAGTTCAGACTGAGGGCAATGCCTTGATGGTCTGTAAGCAGCCATTCAGATGCTTAAATGCTTTCAGATGCTCTGAAATCGCCCATGTGGTTGCTTTTAATACGGTATCTCAGAAACACAGCGTAAGCCACAATTCATCGTGCTTTGTGCCCATTAAGCATCAGAAATACTCTACATGAGTTTGTTGAGAATGATGTTTGTCACAAACAGTTTTTGTCATGCCTTGTGTTTATCAGTTTTGAGATGTTTGCATGTCTTCAAACACCATGCTTGAAATTTAAAGCCCCAATAATTCCACAAAAATAGTTTGAACTGTGTTGACATGACTTTAACAGAAAATGAAGCCTCAATGGATGAAGGTGTGTACTTGATACTAGAAATGCCATCTTTGCGATTTGTTCACATTTGCGTAAATCTACTTCACTCAAATCTTAGTCATGCCCTTTCCAAATACTGTATATTGCAGACGTGATACAAAAACTATTTTAAAAAATATCTTGAGAGATTCGCTGCATCCTAATAGCTGTTAAAAACAAGAGAAGAAAGTGCAATTCTTACAACTTTCTTCTTGACTGCAATTGTACATAATAAAATAAAATGTGCAATATTCATTCATACCCCTAATGACAAATGAAAGAGTTCTGTCCTTTTTCCCTTAGAGGGAAGATTTTATCACCATTCATATTAAGATACACATATTAACTTATTAACAGTATGCTAATAAAAGCATTAGTACTATTCTATAATACATTGTACTTCTTAGTCTGATGAGAAAGACCCACAGTGTCCCTGGCCGCCACATTGCTTTTGAAAAGACTGGGCTAGAAGCTGCTAACATTGGTTTCTTGTAAGATATACAGTATATGGCTTTTTGGTAAGTAAATAATAATAAGTTCTAGTGATGTCTTAGTGCTAGAAAGCAGACTCCTGTTTTTGCTTTGTACAAACACATTCAAAGTTAGAAGCCATAGACAGCTGCCTCACCCTTACTAGTGCGCAGCAGCATGATATAGGTGACTCTGACCAGCGACACGGACATGCAAATATATTTCACATGGAACACTTTCAAGTTGCCTCAAAGAGTCATTTAGTATAAAGCCAAATAACAAAGTTAAGAGCCAAGAATTTAAGTTTTACCCTTAGATGATATAGATAAATGTGTTGGTTGCTAAGCGGCAAGAAGTAATTGTTTGTTGAGAAGATTCTGCTTTCTAGCGTTCTGAAATTTCTAGTCTTAATACATACAGTATAGTGAAGAAGCAGAAAAATTGGGAATATTGAGCTCAGGTCAGACCGCTGAAAGTGGCTCATCATACCTCCAGATGTCAGTGTGCATTCCACATGGGATTGTTAAAGAAATCACTGACACCTGTAGTGAGCTGATTTCTCTTTCTGAAGAACAGAGTTGCTTTTTCTATATATATTAGAGGAACTACAGTTTGTACACAGGACTTTCAATTCATGCTGCCATATGAGGGATCTCTTACAATGGATATACTGTAGGGTGCTGCTGCACATAGGGGCCTTCAGGTCAAAGTTTGAGGACCGTTAGTTTAAAGGGTAATGTTGGCACTAGTGTTGCTATAACAATAGGTGGGGTACAAGTCCTAAATACTGTCAAGATGACGTCATGCAGTGTGATTGCCACCAACCACAAGATGGCGGTGAAAATCTGGCACTGTCCCCTACACCAGACCAAACTGTAACATTGCCCTTAGCAGAGAACCGGGCTTCAGACAACAGATTGTTGTGAAGCCGACATTAATAGACACACTATCTTATCGAAGGTGGGCGGGACACGTGAAGAAGACTCTTACACAGATACCAGACGGCCTTTCCTAATATAATATACAGTACTCTGCCTTTGTCGCATGAGACACAAAACTGGGACTAATCAGGAAACACAAACCAATGCCCATATCCGAGTGCTGATATAAAAACTGCATCTTAGTTATATGGTAATATGGTGTCAAGATGTTAACATTGAATTGATATGTGAGTAAATAGTCTCAGCTCTTAGTAATCTCTTAACTGTAAATGGCTGCATTGGCCTTCCCTGATACAGTAATTGTTTAGGCTGCTGTAGCTGTTGCTGTGTAAAAGTTATTCCTCTGATGCTCCTTGTAGGTCTAGGTCAATCGCATTTGCTTCTGAAGGCTTGAGCTGGTGAATGCTCTAGTGATTTCATGTTATAACAACCCTGCCAGCAGCATTCCCAGAAGATGCTCTGTCTCCTACTGAGCCGTGGCACTGCTGTAGTGCAATTAAAACTGGAGACTCTGTGTGATTCCCGAATGTAAGCATCACCTTTGCACATACAAATCTGCAAACTTTTTTCAGGCATATGTTGTTTCACTTTTTGTATTTTTATATTCAGGAGGTAATGAGTACAAAAAGGGGGACTATGAGTTCTGACTTTTTCTGCAGGGATTATCACATCTTCCCGTAATGTCACATTTTAAACAGGTGAATTTGGTGGGCTTTGCAAGATGAATAATTAGGAGTGGAAATGCTTTTCTAATGTGTTTCAGTACAGAGGATCTTCACAGATCGTAAAACAAATAATTCATAATACAGAATCCACAAATCGATTTGAGTGTTTAGGCTTTGGAGCTGCTAGAGTCCTGGGGATTTGTTTTATTTATTTTTACCTGGGAAGGTAAGGAAGGAAATTAAAGATGACTTGCCTGAGGTCGGGATACATTTTGCTTAGACACACTGACTTAAAGCTTGTCATCTTAAGCAGAACAAAGATCATTAAAGCAGCACATGAGAGATTTAAATCCCGTCTTTATACTGAAGAGGATTAAAGGAGCAGTGCTTACCATGGCTGTTACATCGCAAGGTTTCCACGAGCCGATTATTTTGATCATAGCAAACCATGGCCTGGTAGCGATATCCTTGGCCACATTCCTTAATGTCTCCTTGGACCTTCATTCCCAAGATCCCCTCTACCTTTCCTTCCGGCAGGATGCAGTCAGACCAGTTCCCCACTGGCTGGGCGTTGTACTTGTCGCAAGGGCAGTACTGGGTCTCGCTCAGGGGGTACATTTGGGTATTTTTGCACTTATCTCTTTTTTTGCTTTTCCCTGAAATAAAAATAAACAGGTGCAGAGATGAGTGTCGATCTTTACAATTGTTTATCCAACAAATCCAGATTGACATTTTCTGCCTTTTAGTCATTTTAGCTTAATTCTAAAGTGACTGACATTTTCTGAAATGCTTAACATGAAATTATATTTTATTATGCAATGGTTTTATTGATCATGTTCACTTTATGGTGTCTGAAATATTCTTGCTAGCAGGGATGTATGTGGGGCAGGAGGAAGAAGAGGTACTGTATATGTTGTATCAGGCACCTCTTTGTGTTTCTTGTCAGGTTTATTGCATTGATGTCTTACCAATATTGTGGGGGCATTTGTCAGATATTAACCATCTTTAGCACATCTGCCAATATAACAACACCACGTAAATGTGCTTACAACACCTGCAGTCCCCCCGGGACTCCTGAAGGACAGGGAAATAAGCACACCATGTACTGCAGCAATCTTGTTTTGATGGACAGTAAACAGTGTCTCGCCAGTGCATCAAAACCTATCTATTAAGAAAATGAGAATAGTTTCGAATGATAGAAGGCCATTCAGCATTCATTATTAGGTAGTTAGTAGCTAACTGATTCAAGGATCATATCCAATCCAGCTGTTCCTTGAAGGAAGCCAGAGTATTACAATGATATAGCTAGGTAGCTTGTTCCATACTCCCACAACACCTTATGTACAACAGTGCTTCCTGTTCTCAGTGTTAAATTCACTTCTGCATAGTTCCTACTTGCATCCCCTGGTTCCTGTTTCACTGTTCAATCTGTAAAAGTCCACTGGGTTGACTTTATCAATTGCTTGAATAAAGAGGTATTTCACAATGTCAAAAAAAGACTTAAAAAAGATATTGCTGGAGCTGAGAAATCATGACACTTGATCTCACAATGATGCAATAATGCTATTGTCCAAGAGTTTGGGAGCATGCTAATTGGAGATTCAAAAATTTATCCAGGAGTAACTGGATTTGCAGTAATGCTCTGAGGAAGAATTTTAGCATTTACCTTTTTTAAAGTGTATAACATAGTGACTAATTGGCTTTGAAAAATGCCTTTTACCTACAGTAGCAACAGTATGAAAGACCAATTGCAAGCATATTATTTGACTCTTTGATATTAATGCTACAACAGCAGAATGTCTAGCTCATTTCACACCTTTTATTTATACTGTATACTTCCTTTTGTCTGTATACAAGGTAAAAAACTGAACTTTTTTTCTAAACTTTCTCCAATGTGCCGGGGATCACAGAAACCCATTATATAGAAATTATGATGGCAGATGTGGCTGACCTTTGATTCCCCCACTGCAGAAAACACAACATCATTAGTTTCTTCTTCCATAACAATGCAACTGTAGCTCCTGTGTGTTTGTTCACATACTGATTCAGTTGTGGGGGCAGTGTAGTAGTGAATGCCTGTTTTTTTTTTCATAGGATTGACAGCAACATTGAGTTACCACTGATTAGTTTGTTCCTGTGTCATTTATTTTACAAATCTGCCCAACGTAATTACAAGCAAATGCAATCATGTGGGGTACATTAGCACATCATCACTGCACTCAAAAAAACACTGGTGGTGCACTCACAGTTATAGCTTACCAGTCTACTGTAATTAGCTAGCTCTCCATTGTCAACTTGAAAGGATAAAAATGGTATTAGTGGCGTTGGAGTGAATGGTAAGTAATTTCATACTTCTAAGGCAAACCAGTAATCAAAACCAACTGCAAAATCGAACTTTAAAATACCAACAAATAGAATTAAGATAAAAGTCAACATGTGTCCATCAGTTAAATATTTTATCGTTCCTATGCAACAGGTGTCATCCCCTGCAGCTGGTATTTCCTTCAGGGAATCAAAAAAACGAATCAAATTATACGTGCATTTTACTGAAGTAGCATTCCTTCAGAAATAAAAATAAAACTCATGTTAGACTCGCTTATAGTTCTAAATGTTATGACATTTCCGGATTCAGAAAAAATAAGTTGCCGCATGACAAATACAGCTTTTAAAATAACACCTTTACTAGGCAACTGGAATTGCTTGTTAAAAATGAAGACAAAGGCATTATCGCTAAAGCGTTCTTCCTTACTGATGATGTCTTCAGAATCAATTAAAACATTAATCCCGCATCTTACAATTCATAAAGCTCTGAAATGTCACACCAGGCACTGAACTTTTAATCCAGCACACACCATCCTGATCCAATGATACTGCTGTCAGACATGTTTTCTTATGAATCAGAATTTCATTTCTTAAAATGCCACAGTGCTGTTATTAAAAGAATTTACTTAAGGATTATTTTCTGGGATGTAAATTATTGTGTCAGAGAATTCTCAATAATTAATCATAATATCCTCATTTTCAGGCACAAGAGTAAGAATTGAAAGAGGTTCTTCCAGAATGTCCCAAATGTTTCATTGACAGTACCATTGACTTTTTTCTTTCCAATGAATAATCCAAGAAGTAGCTTATGGAAGTCCTTAAGACTCTTCACGAAGTAAAAAAGAAAGACTTTTTAAACAAGCAATAATAGCTGGGTGAATTTAACATAAAATACCCATGAGGATTTAAAAAAATGTGAAGAATCCCTCATTAGTTCATAGCATTTCATGCTGAATCTCAATATAAATTGTGTTATGTGAGTTTCTCTGAATAAAAAAAGATATGACATGAAAAATCACATACAAGTTCTATATATAAACACAATTCAACAGCAATATTTTGTAATAATAGTTTTAGAAAATAAGCATGCATCATTTTATCAATAACACAAATATTTACTCTAAACACATAGCATTTTAATGTTGGTAAATAACTAATTAATCTCTGTTTTGCACCTGAACTCACAGTACCACCTCTGTTAATCAATCTTCAAGCAAAGAAAGCTCATTATTAAGGTGTGCTGCTTTTCTCGATGATTCCCATTCAATAATCAATAAAGTTCAGTATGTTTTAGAATTCAAACACAAATATTGTTTTAAACATTTTTAAACTGCATGTCTTCGGCATTTCCTGCAATGCTGAGTATGTATCATACTTTTTTCTAAAATGAAAGAAAACAAATTGTACCATATAATCCCAGTTGTTCCCCAAGTTCCCATGACAATAAATTATGGGTTCTGAAATGAACATTAGACTCCGCTCATTAGTTCTCAGAAATGAGAAATTTGTGCAGATTTACCCCCACTGTTAATTATGTATTTGTACATATTTGCCAAAGTTGATAGTCAGGTTTGCTTTTTTACTTTTACTTTTCAGGTTGATTATTGTTTTCCAAGTAGAGATCCTTGTGGTACTTCACTCACTACATCAGCCCAAAGTGTGTTTTATTTTATTGGTATAAGAGAGAAAGTTTAAAGAGCCAAACCGCTGACCCCCCAAAAACGTGCACGGCAAAACATTCTTAAATCTTCATGTGATGATGGCTCAAACACATTACCTGTTGGGACTATGTCTGAATCTCCACAGATATACTGTATACTGTACACGACACAGAAATACTACTGCAGATATAAATGAAACAGTTTCTTCTTACCAACAAGAGCTCGTTTCCTGGTTCTAACTCCTGCACAGTCAGTGCTGCATGGTGAAAACTTTGACCAGTTGGTGAACTGGCAGTCGTCCTGACAAGGAAGCTGGCAGGGCTGGGTGATAGGGGGCATTGTGCTGGCATACTTCAGGCAGTCACTAATATCTGCTTGGCCTCCATCTTGCTTGCGGCATGAGACAGCTGGAAGTGAATGAGTAAAATCCATGTCTGTTTATGATGTACAAATGAAAAAGATTCTGGGATCTGGATTCCCCCAAAGGCCAAAGTTCCTGTGTCATCTTTTAACAGTTTAAAGCCAAACAAAAAAATCCAAAACAGAACACATTACAATTGATTCTGTTAGTGCGTACCTCAGTTTCTTCAACAGGTGTGAGGCATTTGTGTTCAGGCGGGAGGGATACAGAGATTAGACTCATTTGAGGTATGTGTTCGTCCACTTGCCTGTTTGGGTATCTGTCTGTTTAAATTTGCATTAACCAAGGATAGCAGGGTCAGTTAGTGGCACAAGCCTGTAACACTGAGCTGAGCCCATTCCTCAGCAGCGCAGCCAGATGAAATGAGTCCATCTGAGAGACAGGCATTAGATACACTTCTAGTAGTATTCTGACCCCTTCCCCATCGAGATTACAAAACAGCAAAGAACGTGTGTTTAATTTTGTTATACAGTAAATTGGAATATATTTCTCCCACACTGTTTTATTTAACGCTGTAGTGTACGATTGCTAGACTGGCAAGAGGAGCCAGAGAGGTTTTATTTCTTAGTTTAATGAATAATAATACTCCTTCAGGCTGAAATAAAAATTGCCGCTAATTGGATGCTAAGAGGACAATCTTCAACAGGAACCTTCACAACCCTTAATCTAACCCCTAAGTAACGCAGTGCTCTACGCTCTTGACTTGCTCAATGCCTCCGAAACTCTGTGTTACCATAGGTCATGTTATGAATGAGTCCTGCCTAGGAAAACACTTATAATAATATTAAAGTTGCATGGAAAAAGCCCCTGGTAATAACTTTAAACGCAATTCAGGCTCAGTGGGAATGCATCATCTAAAAATATCTGCTTCTGAACGTTTCACTTAAAATATTAGATTTCTATGTATCATTCTTCTCATTCTATCATTGGTGCCATCTTTCCTTAAAAAAAAAACCCTTAATGAATATATTTCATTCATATCCTGTTATCCTGTAATCACATGGTATATATAATCCACAAGAAAAAATAAACTACTGTATCAACCTTCTGGGATTAAATCCTGGTGTTCATTTTTTATGATTTCTCATTTCTACTGTATTGGAACAGGTATCAGACTAAAATCAATGCACATTAGAATGTGTGACGTTGACGACGGAGACAATATTAAACAAAATATATACAGTACCATGTAACAGGTTTATTCCAGATTCAGTTCAGTGGTGGCACTGACAGCCCTCATTGTCACGATTATAGTCCCCCCTCCTTAAGGGTGCTCCAGCCCTTTCACTTTAGACTTAATTCTGTGCACCTGATCCCTTTTCCCAGCCCACCTTAAAAGCCGGTTTCCGCACCATGCGAGTCCGGGACCTGGAAGCGCCTGGTCCCGTTAAGGTTTTAACCTCTGTTCCTGTTCCTTGTCCGCCGGTTCCGACCCGGTTCGTGTTTTTAATTCCCTTGTTTTGATGGATCTCCTGGCTATGGACTTATTCTTGTGTTTTTGGATTCCCTCTATGGATTACTCTTTTGGATTGTTCGCCTCGGCCACACCTCCCCCGTGCACCAGCGCACCTTGGACACGCCCCCCTGTCTTCAGCCCCGTATTCCTGCATGACGTTTCCCCAGTGTTTCCCCACTTCTTCAGATTGTGTCGCCCGCATAGGGTCCGGAAAGAACTGTTCGTTACACTCATGCTAAAACGCGAGGCGTCTGTACCGTACTGTACCTCTTGTCTGCAGCCCAGGCCCGCAGGTCTCGTGAGCCCCGGGGTGCTCCTGGCGCACGTACCACGGCACCAACTGGCAGCGGCGCCACTTGTGGGTCTTCCACCTGCAACAGAGACCGCACCCCGACAGGGTGAGTGGACCAGAGGACACGGCTGCAAGAGCGAACGAGCCGCGCCCGAGAACGGGACTTCATACCTGTCGCCCTCCCACTCCTGCGTGCTTCCCGCAGGGCAGGAGCAGAGCGCAGCAGCGGTAATCGGATATCAGCAATCGGTGGGGCACTGATATTGGGGAAAACTACAACTCTTCTCTAGTTAAATCAAGGATCAGCATAAGATCAACACTTTGTTAAAATTCACCTTCTCCTAACAACATCTGAAGAGCGTTCTTTACTGTTTTTTTTTTTCTTTTTGTAGTAAATTAACACAAGGAGTAAATGTACCTGTAACCCAAACAATTGGACGGAGCCTCACACTCTTTCTCTTCGTACAGAACGTCAGGGCAATCCTGTCCTCCGTTGGCCGGCACCTGGATTATAATCCGGTACCGAGACTGCTTCTTCTTCACGCCACCCCCTGGGCAGGAGGAAAAAGAACGAGGAATAAGGGGGGAAAAAGAAGGGATTTGTGCACAATTTCCTTTCAAGAAGGAAACCAAAGTGGGTAGTCTCAGATGAAAATCTGACTGGAAGTAATATCGTGGAGGAACAATAAAAGTACTGTACTTTTTTAAAAGTACTGAAATAATTGTTTTCCAAAACTACCATGTACTTTAGTCATTCAAAATACTTGAGTAACACATTTCTGGATCCAGACAGCAGGAAAAGTAAATATTATTAACTATAGGCAAGCACTATTACATGCTAAACATGAATAATTTGTGTGTTGCAGCAATCCACACAATCTATACACTGTATAAAGAGAAAATACCATATAGCTCATTAACAATATGGTTTTACATGGCAGTTACTTCCAGATCGCAATCCTTTTTGCTGATTGGAGAATTTATCCCAGTAGTTTAATTGAACCAGTTGCTTAGCAACATTTTTTTATTTTAAGAAAAGCTTTGTACTGTAATGCTACTGTACTGTAATGATACTGTAATGCATATATTATACTGTATAGTTCAGGTGGGTGGCTGTGTCAGCATGCGTAGGCTGCAAAGGAACAAGTAATAGGTTTATTCCATGCTGAAAAGAGAAGAAAAAACAACGTTTCGGCTGTGGAGTCTTCTTCGGGTGTGAGAGTGTACTATACTGTATATAATACGTACAGTACAAACCAACTAAATGCTTTATTTTCACTTTCTAAAGATGATTTAGCCAAAAATGTAAAGATCTGACATTCCCCCTCTATTCTGCTGGCCTTGAAATATGCAAGTCTACTGAAAATGAAAGCAGTGCTGCACTGCTTCGAAAGTCAGAAAGCTGTAGTGTGAGTGGCCTATATTGCACCTTGCTGCCAGAAGTGCTAAAGCTATTTGGAACTTAAATGCCAGGATATTTGCAGCTTCACTGATTTTAATGGCATTATTTTTTTTTTCATATGACACCTCACAAGTGTGATTTGTTTGGAAAGGGAAGGCTTTGTTGCCTCTCATAAAAAAAATCAACTTTAATTACACAGCTGCAGACTGAAATGAAAGAAAATTAAAGCTTTAATTGTACATAACTAAACAATATGGGCACTCGGCACAACTGAATAATTGGTATTCATTAAATGATGACAATTTGTCAGGCCTTTGTAGTTTTAATCAGCACCATAAAAATACAGCAAGTGTTAAAACAGAAAGTTCTGTGTTTATGCTATTAATTTGCATGTGAGCTCACCAAGAATGCCACCATTGTGATGTTTTGTACCTACTGTTTTAGTTATCCAGCCTGTGCGTTTTATAACACAGAAAAGACTTTGGCTGAAGGCTGGCCAGTACTGGACTGTATTCCGGCCAAGGACCTAAACCAAACTATTTGTGTACTTAAATAGTCAAAATCAACATCTTACCAGGACTGTCATCTAGAGATTCTGAAAAGGAACCAGAAACATCTAGAGACCCCTAAGTAGTGTACTTCAGCCAACCCTAAGTTGTTTTTTTTTT